AAATAAGAAGTGGGCTTATATACCTCATGAGCATGGGGTTTAAAATGTGAAAATAATTTGACACATAGATGCATATAGTATGTTTCACATGAAATAAACTGAGGAAGTCCTGGCAATAAATATTTAAAAAAATGATTGACATATTTTGGAATACAATAAATAAAATTGATTTTATTTCTAATACATATCTTGTCCTTAACCTAACTGCATCAGATTATCTGACATTGCATATCATATTGTGCACAGTTCAAAATTTCTATATACAAAAAATCAATATATGCATGTTTACAATGGATTTTTTAAAGTAATTAATAATACTACAATTGAATTAATTCAGAATAAACTTGGTAACTATACACTTGGGCATATATTTTCTATAACAGAATACTAATAATATGGCTTTACTATCTAGCAAGACAATACTGCACTATAACACCTACAGCATTGTTGACAGTAAACACATGGTCAACTTAGCTGGAGATGGATTAACTTCATCACAATGCAGAGACTATATCAGTAATGGATTTATAATCAGATGTTATGATATTAAGACATATTAAATTTTAAAAAATTAATTATTTATGAATAAAACAATAAATTGTACTTAAGATTAAAAAATACAAACCAAAAAAAGAGATAAAAATATTTATTTATTTATTTAAATATTTATTTAAAGTCACTGCTTCTTGATTAATGTACATTATCTAAAACTGGAGGTTTAAAAAAAACCGAGAAAAAGAAAAAAATTTACATACATTTTGAAAACAGTAATAAATTATATTAAATAAATGAATTATATTATTTGTTTAAATTATTAAGCTAAAATAATTGAAAAATCGTTACACTAAATGCTCAAATAAACACCGCTCTCAAATAAACGCCACATCAAACTTGATTTTTTGCGCTAAGCGCCATTCTCGAATAAGCGCCGCAGCGTGAAATCACTGTGTATAATATCCTGGGCGTAATGAAACACTTTGAGAAACAGGGTTTTGAATATAATGTATACAGTGTTAAAATGAATAAATAACACAATGAAGACACAAGCATTTCTTTATAAACATTTATTTACAATGTATTTGTAGGACCTATGATAGACCTACTGAACTACGGGATTATGTGAGATAGGGGACATGGAAACTGGCATGGAAAGCACCACGGAAATATTTTTTATAAGCACCACTCTCGAATAAGCTCTGCACTAAAGCCTCCACAAATTTTCTAAGCGCTGCAGTGCTTAGTCTAGCATTTATGGTATTCACGCTGTGAATAAAACAATCTGGAAGTTCAATAACTCATTGTTACACCATTTTGCAAAGATAAATGTGTAAATTTTTTGGCTGACTGTCATGACCTAAGAAACATGTTTTTCTTTTTTCCTGTTTACTATCTGCTAAACACCTATTAATTACTAGTTTTAGCATGTTCACAAAGCACACATTATCTATTGTAACACAAAATCCTCATTACTGTGTGATTCATTTTATAATGCATTATTAATCTAAATACATTTTTCCTTTAATTGCTTTGCGAATCTAATTTTGAATTAAACATTAGTAATGACTTCCACAGAGGTACACCGGTTAAATAAACTACAACGTCCATCTAACATGTTTTTTTGATGCGTCAAATTTATGACAAGTTGTTTTGAATTTGACATTTCACACGGCTGGTACATATTTGATGAGACAATTGCCCGGCATATAAACTACTGTCACACATCACCACACTTCAGAATCACCACTAGCCAAAATTCATGAACATATGAACATATAACACAGGCTGCTAAATAGGTGAGATTGCTGAATTAATCACAAATTCATTTCCTTTACAGTCATATTCTCACCATAAAAACACCTCATTTAATCCAAATATAACTGCACAGTTAGCGATATAATGTAAACATTTGAAATCTGATGTGTTTATGTACACCTCAGATTTGAGTGTTTGATGTTTAAGATTCTGCAAGAATTCTTCTTTAAAACATAGTTTATTTGATGCAAATTGGTTGAGCATTATAGCAAAGTAATTAATATTTAATTCATTGGATATCAGCCAGGTAGGTTTTGAGAAAACAGTTTCCAAAGATTCCAAAATCAACAGTTTATTATTAAGATATTGTATTTAAAAAATAATTTTAATATACTTTCCAGTTAGATTAGTGATTGATATTTTGCAGAAATGCTTTTAAATACATCTTCGTTTATAAAATGCAAAACAAATCTATGAAAATGTTCAAAATTCTGTTTCTCGATTATTTTTGGCGCTTGTGGGAAATTAAAAGTTGTGACAAACGGTGGTCTCACTTTGCTTGCGTTCATCATTCTCTGCAGAAAAAAATTTCAACACAAACTATAAAACTCCTTCTACCAACAGTAACACTCATAATGAAGCACGATATCCTTTCCAAAAGTACAATTAATTCCCCAGCTAACAATTAAATATATAATTACATAATCTCCTCCCTACCACTGACATAAAATTATCCCTAATATTGCATAATTGTATATAGCAAACCCCTTCCCTAACAACAACATGGATAGGCCTAACCCCTCTACCGCTAACATACTTTCCATCACTAAAATTGACTTGCGTACTCTTTCCAAACACTGGCACATAAAATATCCCATTCACTAATAATCATATACCCCCTAAAACTGGCATAACCAACCCCTAAACTCAAAGTGACTTCATAATCTCCATTTCAACACTGACCCAACTCTTCCCTAATACTGAAATACATAATCCCCTTCTTACCCCATATCATGTAAGGCCTACAGTAACACAAATACATTGTTTTATCTATTTTCTTAAATGGCCTTGAGCTATGGAATTCGTTATTTGTTCAAAATATTAACTAATCTTCATATATTTAAATCCAATCTTAAAGAGTCTCTGGTCTCTGTATATGACAGGTAAACATTCTATCCTTTTTATTACTGTATGTAGCTATACACCTTTATTATACTAGTTGTAAACAAATGTTAACAGTTGAAAAATTTAATTAAATGCTCCCCTATGTGAATTTATATTTGAATCTCTGTTTACATTTCCAAAAATAAGATTTTAATATAATTATTATTATTATTATTAAATAATTATTATTATTTAATATTATTATTATTATTATCACTAAATACTATTTCACTCCTGTTAGGGGCTTATATTTAATTTTGTTTTTAATGCTCCAGCATTCTAAACTAGACTAAAAATAAACATTTATTTGTTTTCCCTTATATTTAACTCTGACTATAATTGGTGACCATGTCTTAAAGTTTGTCCACAAACTTTATGTTGTTTCCTTCCACATACTTTTCTTTTGTTTTATTAATTTTTAAGCGTTGATATAAGTAATTGATATGCCAGTATTTAGTTTTCATTTTTTCTTATTATAATTGTAACATTAAGCAATTGCCATTAAATTGTCAATTGTCAAAACAAAAACTTTTATGGTTCTTCCGAAAAGCAAAAGTACAAAAAATTAATTTGTTGTTGCTAATCAAAATCACTACAATACTATAATTCTGCACTCGAAAGGTAATTCCCTCCCGAACACAGATTTATTCTACAGGGACATAAATAATATCTCCCTGACACTACCGTGAATAATCCCCTCCCGATATGAAGGTACATAATCTTCTCACTAATACTAACATACGTAATCTTGTCCCTAACGCGGACAATCTCCTCACCAATAACATCGACATAGATAATCTCCTCACTGACATACAGTCCATAAATCCTTCGCCAGCATTATACGTAGATAATCCTGTTACTGGCAGTCAAATCCTTTTCTAGTGAAATGCCTCTAAATCAGCAAAAGACCTAATCGTTTAAAACTCTATCTGAATAGAATGTTATACTTACGGTATATTCTATACAGAGTATAAAATCTTATTTGACAAAAAAATGTTGTATGCACATATTTGTGCATGTGTATACATACATTTTTTCTAAGTTTGATTCCTTGATATTTTTTAAGTTTCATTGTTTCGTTTAGGGTCTTACATGACAATTGTATTTCGTCTCCTAGTATAGATCTAGTTAATAGTTATTTCTGTGTTCATTTATGTCCATACTGCTGTTACACCTCTTATTATTTTTTAATTGTTATTTACCATTAATTGAAATAAATGTTGATGAATGAATGCTAGTAATGATCTGTCTATATATGTGGTGAAGACCAGCCAAACCAGTCACTCCTCTAAAATAGCATGTTGGAATGTCAACATTTTCAAAATCTATTTTATTGCGCTATTAAAACTAACCTTTATATATCTACACATCATCTATCCTATGTTGTCATTTTCCCAATTTTCAATTGTTTAAATAACATTTTTTAAAGACTTGGTGATGCTGATTTCTTAGATACTGTTCTTCAAACAGCTGTATGTTAAACTCCTGTAACTTCATAACAAAATGTTGGATTTAAATGATTGTTTTACCACTTTATTTGTTAACCCTGGAATACATAAAAATCAATTTTGTTGTGAGGAGTGACTTGATTGGCTTATTTTAGTCATATATGGTCATGATGTGCCTATATATGGTCATGATGTGCCTATATATGGTCATGATGTGCCTATATATGGTCATGATGTGCCTATATATGGTCATGATGTGATGTCATCATGACCATTAGGCATGCCACATGTTTTTGTCAAATAAAATTTGATAGTCTAAATTTTTCTTTGGAGATCTTTTTAAATTTCATGAGTCATTATGTTAATTGAACTTTAATCAAATGTTTGCACATGTTAAAAACTCTCTAATTAAATTTTGTTTACCAAGAGAATTCCGCTCAACATCCATTTTTCGAAAGCTAAAAAGGGTAAGTGATAAAAGCAAAGGTTCCACTGATAATACGCCAATAGAATATGAGTGTGGTAACTATGAAAAATGACAATGTTCAAATAAAGAATGAAACATAAAATCAATTAATGGCCTCACGTCTGTAAGTGATAAAAAAATTAATTAAGTAAAATAATAATTATACTTACTTCGATGACATCCACTCATCAGATACATAAGCCCTGTTATCCAAATGTTTGCTTCATCAGCTGAAGAGGCTATCAGGTCAAGGGTCAAATATTCATTGCTGTAGATAATTGAAAAGGCACGATCATCGGGGAATTCTTGGCTGATGTCTGGGGTTCGAAATGTTTCCGTATTTTTGCCATGCCGTACTTCTTTGAGGTCGTCTATTCTAACTACAAATTCATTACAAAGAAAAAAAAACATATTTGAAACAGTTAATGTATAAATAATGACTAATTATTAATTTTGTACTAAAAGCGACAGAAAAAAGAGAGAAAAGCAACCCCATAAAAATAAAGAGAACGAAAAGACAAGAAAGAGAATTATCACATCAGAATGCCAAAACTGAAAAATATAGCCAAATACAAAATTGATATCTTGTCAGTGACATATCTACGGTGGATGTTGGACTACTGTACCTCATGATATCATATAAAACTTGACAATTGGACAAGAGTCCCCAATCTGTCAAATAATTTATACTCCACATATGTGGTACAGGGTATTACAATATCTACCTTAGTTTATCTGTACTAAAAGCGACAGAGAAAAGAGAGAAAAGCAACCCCATAAAAATAAAGAGAACGAAAAGACAAGAAAGAGAATTATCACATCAGAGTGCCGAAACTGAAAAATATAGCCAAATACAAAATTGATATCTTGTCAGTGACATATCTATGGTGGATGTTGGACTACTGTACCTCATGATATCATATAAAACTTGACAATTGGACAAGAGTCCCCAATCTGTCAAATAATTTATACTCCATATAAGTGGTACAGGGTATTACAATATCTACCTTAGTTTATCTGTACTAAAAGCGACAGAAAAAAGAGAGAAAAGCAACCCCATAAAAATAAAGAGAACGAAAAGACAAGAAAGAGAATTATCACATCAGAATGCCGAAACTGAAAAATATAGCCAAATACAAAATTGATATCTTGTCAGTGACATATCTATGGTGGATGTTGGACTACTGTACCTCATGATATCATATAAAACTTGACAATTGGACAAGAGTCCCCAATCTGTCAAATAATTTATACTCCATATATGTGGTACAGGGTATTACAATATCTACCTTAGTTTATCTGGTGTAAGCACACCCCTTGAACCCAAAACTGGACCACTACTGAAGGTTTTATACCTGGGGAATTCCCTTTATCAAACAACAATTTCTGCACTGCATAAATAAATTTAAAGCAAATCTTTGATTTTTTCGTAATAAAAAAAACAATGAAATGTCATCTTACTCTTTGCTTTATCTGGTTTCTTGGATGTTGGATGCCATCGCAGTTCTTCGAAATCCTCTGACAGAGAGAAGATACGATGATACATACGTGATGACGACCGAACCTTAATGAGTTGACAACCATTTTGCATGAAGTTTAGACAATCAGAGGCTGAAAAATATAAGGGTAAAGATGATAAATTAAGTGTTTTCTAAATAAAGGAGTGGGGTATTAATCTCATATGGATGCGAACTCGCGCTAAACCCTTATAAAATGTTAATTACGCCAATGATTGAGTGAATAAAATAATTTTTACCTTTCTTTACAACTTGTTTATGTTATTACTACAAACTTCTATTAAATTAACATCTTTATAATAAAAAAAAATTAAACAATAAAAAATAATATAAAAAATAATCTCTTGGTTATTATACTTTGAAGCATTAATGCTATAATAAAGGCCCACCTACATCTTTTCATCATCGGTCAAATTATCTCCTGCTACGTGAGATGCACCTCTAAATTAATGCTTGTCTCATGTTACTCAAATGTAGAGTTTAATAATTTTAGCCATGTTGTAACATAGTTATCGCATGACACACTCATTAAAATGTATTGTCAAGTCCAAGTAATACAAGCACAGATATTTGCAAAAAAGAATCTCATGTTCTCTATTACTAATTTAAGTTGCAAATCTAAAAAGAGACATTTAATCTTCTAATTCTACGTTATCATTGTTTACTTTAATACAACATACATAACCCCTGAAACTAGCATCCATCACACATAATTTGCATCCATAATTTTGAGTTTTCCCGTTTTATTATGCCCCAAAATTAATCGGTATAATACAACAATCTCTACAATGCCTACATGATACAGATGTACAATCTTGTAAAATACTTGACGGAATGGTTGGAAATTACAGGAATAAATAGTACATCTATAGCAAACCAGGCAAACATTAGAGTAGGATGATCATACTGTATAAGATTGTTTGCTATTTAATGTCCATTACTTTTTGGAGGTTAAGTGCACAGTACAAGCTTGGCAAAATTAACTTTATGAATGCCAATCTAAAGAGATGAAATATGCCATGTTTCTATCTTTAGGCAAAGCTTGATGTAATGATGTCATATCAAAAGCATGGGACAGCGATAATTTGAAATCACTCATGTTCTTTCGCTTTAAGCATGGTAATCTCAAAATGTGAATTCATCAAGAAACTGCACCATCTCTTTGGTAGGACAGAGTTGCTGTTAAGATGTCAATGAGAGTTCCAGATATCAGCTTGCACTTCTGAATTGTATTTGCCATTAGGGGTTTATTAGGTGGATTTTTTGTAAGGATGCCCATTTATTCTTCAGAGTTTAAGCTGGACAAAAACAATATTAGCAATTTGGCTAACTCAGTATGAAAATAATTAGCCAAATAGAAAGTTGATTAGCCAAAAACAAAAGAATATAAGGAATTAAGCTTTAATTTCATTAGCTTTTTGGCTAATTTTGAATGAAAATATTTAGCCAAATTCAGCTTTTATTAGGATTTGGCTAATGACAGCTTAAACACTGATTCTTTGTTGGATCTTTTCAGCACAAAGTGTTTTCTTGGTCAGCTATTGGAACATTGGGACAGTCTCACACAATTTTTCTAATGGGTCCACAAAGAATGGGTCCACATTTATAAATATGGGTAAAATTATGTAGTTAAATGGGTCCAGATTTCTCATATTTAGCTTAAAATGGGTAAAATGTTAAATAATAGAGTCCATATTTTTTATATTTTTGCATAAAATGGGTAAACATTTAAAGAAAATGGGTCCACATTATTTGTATTTTGTAAATGGGTCCACCCTCATATCGTCCTGCACTGTTTGAAAATTCTAGCTACAGCATTGCTTGGCATCTGTCTGGTAATGTTCTGATTGCTAATAGGGTGCTCATATATATTGTAGTTTTTTAATGGGGCTTTATACCGAAGTCGCTTGAGATGTGGACTAGTTCACGCAGTAACTTGCTTCACCTCTAATGGTCTTCTTGTGTCTGAGCTACCCGGTACAGTAAACCGGTACCAGCTACTCTCATCTGTACATAAATATAATCTGGCAGCATAGATGCCTTTTGAAAAAACAACTTTTCACCAAAGTTCCAGATTGTAACCAGTTCTATCATTACATTTATTCTAAATTTTAACAGCACAAAATGATTCTCCAAGAAAGGAAATTCTAATAAGAATGAACAACACAACCTAATTAAAATTCAGCCATTTTTATCATCACTACTAATGCTTTTATATCCCCCATCCCCTCATGTCTAAACGACTGGTACGGCCTAGCTTGTTTTCAAGTCTAGTCTACAGTATATTTACAGTGTTAAATGTCAACAATTATGCATGTCTAATTTAAACAAAAAAAATGTCTGATATTCACAACATAAATTCAGAATATTTACATTTTAAGCAGCTATAAAAGAATGGATGTGGTACACCCCAATTATCATAATGAACTTGTTTTGAAAATAATTGCGAATGCTGATCAACCAAATTAATGTTGCCTTTCATACATTCAGGTTAAACGTACAATACTATAACGTAGAAACAAGCAATCAATCATTTGCAACAATGCTCTTTGTTCTGTATATTTGAATTAGTAAAAATTTAAATTAAATTTTAAATAAATGTTTGAAAGTTTACATTTTACTATCCACTTTCATTTCACTATGCATAATTATAAATGGCAAGCGTTAGAACCACACTAATAAACAGATCTCAAATGAAAATATTATTGGCACAAAAATATTAATCAAATAAATAATATGAGAATAATTGGCTGCTGGTGTGTGTTTGATCTGTCAAAAGTACTGTCAGTTATGAGGCTGTAAAAAGTAGATTCTTTATTAGCGGTCATTACTCGGGCGTTCTCCAAAGCCCATTTACTCAATCAATACTTAATGGCACAGCAGCACATTTACTATCGACCCAGTTTCTTACTTCAGGCATAACTTTTTGAATATTGGTTTATGCTTTTATTCTTTCGCTCTCCGGCCCGATCAACCATGTAACATGATAGCTGTAAGTGATGGAGCGATTGTAATGGGTTTCTACATGTACGTCTTCAGTACTACAATAAGATATGTACAAATTTGAAATGTTTGCAGATATCTATAGGTGGATTCAACAGAGGCCTAGCTGCCCCCTATCCCAACCCCCAATTTTTCATAAATATACAAAACGAAGGGAAAAAAAATTGTATTTCAAGTTCAAGTCTTAGCGAGCCATTTCCAGCCATCTACTGTAGATGTTCCTTAATAAATATACAGTTCGCACCTCAGCCCAACCATGGTTTGGTTAATGTGGTCTACACCCTCAAACTGTCAAACCTCCCTGGACGCCCTCTATTTCAAGTTCCTTGACCCACCGCTGTAAACATTACACGAAACAATCCACAGAATAATCGAAATAAGTATCAAAATATATTTGGAAAAATTCTGTAATGCAAACAACTTTGGAACACATCAATATAATATTATTATTTCATCATTTTTTTAATTTTTGATTGACAAACACTTAGATAGGCATGATGATTTGCAGAGGCTACCTCAATTTGTGTAGGACCAAATTAAAATAAAACAAAATGTGAGAAACCATCCTTAAAATTTGTACTTCATGATTTTAAAATAAAAACTCACAAAGAGCAGATGCCAAATGTCATAATTCCTATTGCAACTCGTAGCTTTATAGCTTTACAATGCATATTAAATATGTAGGAATGAAACAATATAATTATATTGAAATAGCTTTATATTCATCATTCAATAAAAAAGCAAACAATAACATGCAACAGATAGTTAATTAATTTAATCTTCATATGTTTACATTCAACCTTACTCTGTTGTAATCATAACTTTAGTAAATTTTATTTTACTTTAATCATATTTTAATTTAGAACCAAGCTCTCCAATTACAGGATGTAAAATATTAATTTTTATGCAACCATCTAGTGTAAAATTTGGTAAACCAAGAAAAAAAAATGCACCAATTATTTAAAAGGATCAAATATTATGCAAGGTTGGCGCCAGCAGTAGGGCCAGCTGAGCGCAGGCCCAGCTGTCATAGACTCTTTGCCAAGCCATCAAAAAGTTGCGGTAAGACCTGTCTGGGAATCGTTTTCCAAACCCACGACAGCTAGCCTAAAATTGCCATTTTCTGGCATCATTTGTGAAATCACTCAGTCCCCACCTGTCGGGGAGAGATGGACCATCTGTCGGATGAATGCTGACGCCACCACTGACATGTGTTACCAAATTGCAACAGATCAATACAAGTCAGTTTTTCGCTGATTTACACTCTTTACTCGGTAAATTGATAACTAAATACCAGCCATTCCAAGCTTGTGAAAATATTAGTAGGCTAGTACTATTAAATTCTTTTAATTGGCAACAAAAAAAAAACAAAACATTTATTCATTCTAATATTCAACTTGAGGCTAATCCCCTAATTAAATATACAAAGTTAGCAACTGAAATAATGAATTGCATATTTCTTTTTTGATTAGCTATTACATGAGAGTATCTCAAACACTGGCTTTTAAACACCATGATGTAATAAGCATTATTATTATAATACACATACATTACGGATTTACTGCACTCCGAATAATCAATAAGTGACTGCTGTAAACGATATAGTTACAAATAATTCTCGATAGATAGGACTTCTCAATGAATTTCATCTTTTTGCATATTGCTACAAAGGAAGTTAATAAATGTTATTTTGAAATTGAAGTAGAATTTGATGACAGGGGTTCAAATCCTGGTTTGGAACCATTTTTTTTTACTCTTTTTTTTTAAATGTTTTTACAAAATAATTATTATGAAACATTACTACGAGATTCAGTATTTTAGAGTTTCATGTATCATGCTAATATACATAAAACATTAACATATTTATACTGACACTATTAAATTCCCTGATTACAAGTTACAAAAATTTGGCTCCAGATTAACCTCCCCTCCAACTGCTCTGCAGTGAAGTTTAGAAGGCAGGTATTATTTCAACCAGCCACCATCATACAATATTTCACACTACCTGTAAATTAACATACAACAACTGAAAATCTTGAGAAATAAACTGCCAGCGAAGGATTTGTGGCACTGACTAACAGAAGTGTTACG